CTTCTCTCCAACTAGCATGTGTCCTCTTCAGTCCTGCTCCTTAATCACCTTAGTCACCTGAATGACCCTTATCAGTGTATCTGCCATCGTACCTGTCCGGAGGGGGAGGGGGAGGGGGGGGGCAGTGTAGTGCGACTCTGGTTACAGGATGCATGGCCATGTGCAGCAGCTGAGCTCTTTTCTTTATTGGAGTGGATGCTGTTTCAGCCGGTGGCTGTTGCCCTGTTGCCCTGTTGCCCTGTTTTTCTCCCCACTTTATACTTTACTGCACTGCTCATCTCAGCATCTCAAGGAGGTGAGAAGTAAGGGGGGGGTCATGTTTGCTGGCGGGTACGCCGGTGGCCCCCCAGGGTCTCTGGGCATGCGAAGAGCCAGTCACTGTCCAACTGAAAATCTGCAGATCCCGAAACCAGCAGCGCCAGGCGGCGGTGTTCGTAAGAGCAGCAGCAGCGGCAGCGGCAAGATGCTTTCTATGTCGTACAGCGAGAGCATCCGGAGCGGTATCAACCGCTACCACTCTGACCAGGGCCTTAACCAGCCTCCAGCCAGGCCCACTGACCAGGCTGAGCTGCAGAGACTGCGGGAGCAGCGAGTCGCTGCTCAGATTAAGAACATGGAAGACTTCCTGAAGATGAACGGCCTGGCGCTGGAGGAGTGTGTGTCCTATCAGACAGGAATGAAGTACAGGTAAGAGAGCGGCGGACGGTGACACGGACTCCGGTCGCTCAGACACTGACAGTGGGGGCTGCCGCTGCTGGCATTGGCTGAACATTTGTTTTGTGGTCAAACAGTGATGTTGTAGCTGGATCAGAACGGTTACTGTTACTTTGGTCTGGGCTGAGGATGTATTTGAATCATGTAGGCCACGTCATTAGTTCATCTTCATGGGAAGGACGCGGCGCTCCGTGAACTCTCCCTCTAACTTTTCTTCAACTTCCCTCTGTGACTTCCAGGGTTTGGTTTGGCTGCTTGAATCATCACAAAAGTCAAGATTAAAAAGTAGTCGTTTGAATGCAGTTTATTGTCTGACAGGGGAGCCCCCCCCCAGCCATATGACGGGTGGTTGCAGTGATCCAGTGCAGCAGGCTTACCGGCTGTTGGTGCTGACACACGTGCAGCCTGTGTTGTCATTGTCTTTGACAACAGGCTGAACTGCTGTTGTTTTTCACTCAGAGATCAGTGGCCAGAAGGTGGCCGTGCTGCCCCAGCCCCCCCCCCAGCCCCGAGGTCAGTTGAGGACAGGGTTAGATGTCACCACTACTGATCATAATTAACCTCCACTGTGTGTAAACCTGATACTGGTCAATGAGCGTTCATTCAGACAGGAAGTTAAGTCAAGGTCCACGTGCACTTCCTGTGTTACTCAGAGCAGCTAGTGGTCAGATATGGTTTTACAGCTGATGATGAGACGACTGACTTTTGTCACAGTTTGTTCTCTGTGGTGTTCTCGTTAACCGTCGGTGTTGGTTTACCAGTGAAGTAAAGGAAATCCTGCCAGCTTCCTGTTTCTGGTGTCACGATCGCCGATCGGGGTCAGCATCGACATGCCACCTCCGACACCAGCTCATCATTAGTTAAGCTGTGTGGTCAGGGCGACAGAGTGCTGTTTTGTCTCACTGGTTCAGTGGTCTTCACGTCACCTGGTCTGTATTTCTGAGGACATGTAAACATTCTCACTTGTGGTCTACGGTACCAGAAACAGTTCCTAAATCTGCTGTAATCCACTGAGATTACACAGAAAAGTCTCCTGTTTCAGGTTTCATGTCTGGACGTGGCCATGACGTCCACTCAGATGGACCGAGGAAACGGGACAAATCAATCAGGGAAATCATCCGATTGATTATGTTTCATCTTTAACGGTAGCACAGATGAGAAAATCGTACTTTAATTTTCCAAGTAAAACTGTTGGACATTAGAAACATTGGTTCTGGTTTAATTAACTTTAACGAGTTATAAATGATTTAAACAGAGTTTCCGTAATACCTATTTATTTCCACTGGATGGTGCTGTAGTTTTACCTTCAGTCGTGCTTCACCAGACAAACGGATGACGTTCGTTGTAGCTCAGCGACTGTCCATGATTAAAAAGCAAAAGATACACTTTAGATTTTTAGAATTTCTTTGTTTGTAGATCTCAGCATCACTGCAGCCCGAGGA